GTGTGGGACATGTGGTACGAATGGATGGGGAAAACAAATAAAGAAGGAAATAGAGTATAGAGATTAAGTATTAATTAATCAACAAAATCCATGGAGAAATGAACAGTATTACATTTAATCTTAGAGATTTGAGCACTATTATCTTTAAATGTTTTGAAATTAAATTTAGCTTTAAGAAACAATATCAAATAAAAGACAAGTAATAATGCATGTAGATGTATATATGTATGTATTTGCACCACTGAACCGAAAATGTATTGAATGTATCACTATATGTTATAATAAAAATCAAATTAAAAAAAAAAAGAGAAACCCCTTGCTAGGTTTTTCTCAATGAATGTTCTCAGCTCTTCCAACTCCCTCGGTGACATGCTATACATCTTGGGTTTAGGGAGTTTTGCGCTGGGTAAGATTTCTATTGCACAGTCAGTGGTGCGGTGGGGGCAGGGAGCTCATCTGAGGCTTTTTCGCTAAAAACCTCAGCTAAATCCTTGTATTCTATGGTGACGAGGCATGGCTGTTTTTCGATTCTCTGCCCCCTCAGTTCCTTTATGTGGATACTCAGCAAAAGTCACATTCATCTGAAATTTTATGATGCCTTGTTTCCAACTGATTTTTGGGTTCCATTTTTTCAGCCATGCAAGGCCCAGAACCAACAGCCATTCCATGCCAGGTGCCACTATAAATGTAAGCCTCTCCTTGTGGCTTCCGATGCCTATATGTAGAGGCTTGGTAGCAAAAGAAGCTGGCTCCCCTCCTGCTATTGACCCATCTAGTTGGCAGAAAGCAATGGGGGTTTTCAGCTTTCTTACGTTAATCCCTAGCTTCCCAACTAGGGTTGGGCTGATCAAACAATGGGTGCACCCTGAATCCACTAGAGTGGAGACACTTATCTTCCTGTCCTGGTTTGGGATAAGTAGTCTTAAGGGGAGGGTAAGCGGTTTAATTGGTTTGCTTACCAGTGGCTCATCATCTGGATTGCTTCCGAACGAGTATGATTCCTCCTATTCAGATGCCAGGGTTTCCTCCCCAAAGAGGGGAGGGGATGGAATCTCTGTGGTCTGCCTGCTCCTCAGGGCAGTCTCCTTCCCACGCCAACCTGGTTTTGCCAGGTTCTCCCCCGGTGGGTGGTTCCGGGCGGGTGTTTGCGAGTGACACTCTGCAGCTTGGTGCCCTTCTTTTCCACACTTGAAACAGGCTGAAGATCTCGGGGAGAATGCGGTTTGTGGTTTGTGGGGCTCTTGCTTCCATTGGGGGGGGGATTTCTTCCATGCTCGCCCCGCTTGATACTGGTTTCTGGCCATATCGATCTCAGCTTCTTTGGCGGTGACATACCATTCATGTAGGTCATTCGGTGCCCCTCGGGTCACACAGGCATTGTATAGATCATCACTCAGCCCGTCCTTGAAACAGCTCACCAAAATATCTTCCGGCCAGTGCACACGACATGCGAGGTCCCAGAATTCTTCAGTATACTCTGCTACTGGCCGTCGCCCCTGCTTTACCACCTTAATGTGGTCATGTGCTTTGCAATTTGCCAGTGGATCCTTGAACCGCCGTCGCAGGGCCATCATGAAATGGTCGAAATTCCACAGTTCTGGTGCGTTGGCGTTATGTAGGGTCACCATCCATCTGGCTGCAGCACCCTCTAGGGCTAGGGTCACAACTCGCACTCGGGATCCTTGGGTTTGGAAATCACACCCATACTCTTGCATGTAGGTTAGCACATGTGCCACAAAGAATCCTAATTGTTGCGGATTCCCATCAAACTTCACCCCAAGGGGGGGAGTTTCTCTTTCCAGTTGCGGGACCTGGGGCTGGTTGAGAATGGGTGCCGGTGTGCGTGCTGCCTGGGAGGGAGGGTTTGCTGCGTCTTCTCCCACTGCTGCTGCGCCATCTGCTCGATAGGCAGGCTCCAGAAGGGGGGTGCTTCCTGTGGCATCCTCCTCAATGACTGCCCCTTCTGCGCCCTTTGATTGTTGTCCTGGCTCCCTTCGGATGTTGAGATTTTCCAAAGTTTCCATCACCAATTGGGTTATATGCCTCTTCAGATAATCCTCCCTCAGAGGTGCTTCGGTCAGTCCCCCTTGGTCAGCAAGGGCTTCTAGTTCCAGTTTCCACCCCGGTTTTTGGTTGCCACGGTTGAGGGTTCTCTCATCCCAGCTATCTTTCTTCCTGATGCCAATTGACCAGCAGGGCTTTTCAGGATTCTCATCCTCTCCGATGGGGTGCATGAAACAGGCATCTCACTGGGTGGCGGTTGCTGTCTCTCCCCAGCAATCGGTTTCTCCCAGCTCTCTGCTTCATTCAGACATGGTTTGCAAGGTCCCCTCAGTAGAGCGAAGATTGCTTCTTTGGGTTGACCGTTTTGCAGATTGTGCTTTCTGTAAGGATTGCCTCTCCTTCCAATTTAAGAAAGTACGAACTCTTGAAATGTGGTTGTTCAAAAGGATTCTTTTATTAAGCAGAAGTGACAGCCATCCAGCTAAAGCACAATCTGAATGCCCTTAGGCAAAGCAGTAGGATTAAAGTGGTAGAGACCCCTCCCTTTAAGTCAGAATGCAGATTTTAGCCAATACACAAGTGTGAAGATGTTTTCTTTACTATTTCCTTTGAGAATCCGAACAAATATGCATTCCCACCACTACCCTTTAAAGTAAGACAACCCACATGGCTATCATATAAATTCCTGCAGGTAAAGGGAATCTCAGGCCTCCTTGGCACCAGGATATAGGTTGTAAAATATCTGATGACACTGGCCATGCTAGTAATTCAAATCCAAGTCTCCCCCTTCCTCCACTTGAATGGCAGTATCACTTTTAGGGATCTGACACCAAGCACCACCACTTCCATCACTTGAAACCAGAGAAAGCAGCAAGTCAAGTATTGAGTCACCCACGCCCGCAATTGAAAGAATTATTCCAGACTGCTGGACTATGCAACAGTACAGCAACTTCCAAGAAAAGTATAATGGGTTGAAAGTTTCAAACAAGAAACTAGGTTGCAAGTACTGTGTGAAACATTACTTCGCAATAGAGAGTGGTATTCATGTGTCCACCTTAATCTTGAAAAGAGTGGAAGCTTTTCAAGATTAAGGTGGCTGGGAAAAATAAGGAAATGCATCAGGCGTCTCTAAGGAAGAAAATGAGAGAACATTTCATATCGAAATCGCACACCATTTGTAGAGACAACATAAAGCAAGTAGAGCAGGAAACCATAACAAAAGCAATGGACAAGATTTCTGAAAGACAATATGGCACCACTTCTAAAATGTTCAAAACTGTTTACAGCCTGGCAAAAGCATGCAGACCAATTTCAAGCATAGAGGAATTGATAGAATTACAAACTGAAAATGGAGTAGATCTGGGAGTAGGATTGCATTCAAGGCCAACAGTTGTGAAAATAGTTGAATGCATTGCAAATGAAATTAAAACCCAAATGTTTACCAACATCATTGAACAGAATCTGAAAATAAGTTTGATCATTGATGAAGCCTCAACAGTATCCTGCAAACCAGTTTTGATAGTTTTTGTAAAAGTTGAGGACTCAGAGGACCCACCAACAATTTTTGTCAAACTTATTGAATTGAAGAAGAGACAATATGTACTGCAGTTCTGGAAAGTTTACATAAGGTTGGGTTTACCCAGGACTACCTACAAAAAAATCTAATAGCGTTCTGCTCTGATGGTGTCAGCGTTATGCTTGGGAGAAAATCTGGAGTGAGCACCAGAATAGCAAAAGAGTTTGCAAACATCATCATATGGCACAGCTTGAACCATTGCCTCCAACTTGTTTTAGATGATGCCATAAAGGAAATAAAGCAAGTAAATCATTTTAAAATATTTATTGATAAGATATGCTCTATTTTTCAGCAATCCAATAAGAACCGAATTGAACTTGATGAAATATCCAAAGAACTTGACATTAACATCATAAAGATTGGTAGAGCTTTTGGACCAAGATGGGCTGCCTGTAGTTTAAGGGCAACCATAGCTGTGTGGTGTGCTTATCCAGCGCTACATCAATATTTTTATGCGAATGCAAAATACTCAGGTATGGCTGCCTGTTTGGAAAATAAATATTTCTTAAATGATTTGGTGTTGATGATCGACATTCTGGAAGAAATCTCACTTCTTTCAACTGCTCTGCAAGCATGTAACGTGGACATCATTAAGGCTGAAAAACTGGTGAGAAGATCAATGAAGGCATTTGAACAGCTTACAAAGGGAAAGGGCCCATATGAAAGAAAAGTTGACGGACTACTTACTTCAGAAATCTTCTTTTATAGAAAATCATCGCTTTGTTGGACTTCATCAGGAAAGACTTTTAGGAAGCATCATAGCAAATTTGCAGAAACAACTGATGGACTGTGAACATTTAAAAACAGGTAGCCAATTGCAAGGCACCACAAACAAATTACAATTTCTACAGTTTTTGGTGCCAAAGTACTGGGATTTTGCAGAAGTAGTCATTCCATGGACAGCAGCTGAAGAACAACTGTGCACATTTGGTGATATTTTCAATTACAACATCAACATTAATGGTTATAGAGATTTTATGGAGAATGTGTTAAAAGATTCGAAGAGGTATGCAATTCCTGACAGTATTAAAAAAGTAAAATATATTGTCAGAATAATTGCTATAAGTTCTGCAGAAGCAGAAAGGGGTTTTTTGAAAATGAACTTCATATGTTCTGAGAGCAGAAGTTGCCTAACCATTTCCAATTTAACCAACCTCATGACCATCAGCATTACTTGGCTATCTCTTCCAAAATGGGACCGTATTCCTGCAGTGAAAAAGTGGTTCAGAGAACACCATCGCTCAGCCAATGATCTGCGCATCAAGTTCAAGAAAAGTGGAAGCGAAGAGAGTGCCACTGAAATAGCTATGTGGAAACATCTTAAAGCTAAAGACGACTAACAGTTTTATGTAAGGATTTATATATGTTTTATTGTTTTGTGTACTTTAAATGGTTAAATTTGTATATCTTCTTTTTGTAGGTTATTATTATTCATTGGTGCAAAGACATCAAAGACAATACTTTAATTGCTCTTATGTAAGTATTTGTGTACCTCTTTTACTGTTTTATATACTTTGTTTATTCTTATTTAAGTATTAATTGCATGAAACAATTGGTATATTTTCTTTTTGTAGGTCAAAAAAGGTCAAAGAAGGGGTGTGTGGCCAGTGTAGTGGCAAGACAACATGTGCTTTGGGTGCTCCCAGGGGGCCATTGATATCTCAGCTGTTTGGGAGTCTTCATTGACCTAAGCCGTTTCATAGGGATGGCGAACAAGAGAGACACGGACTGACTAACACAGGGAAACCACAAATTCCCTGGTTAGTCGGAAGAAACCTCTCACACTGGATGACTGAGAAAGCAGTCATACTGTGCCGCTAAGAAGCTGGGGTGGTCACAACTGAAGTGAGAAATCAAAGACAGAGTGGATCATCTGGGTGAGAACCTGGCTTTTTATATATGTTTCTTTTCATATCCGCTTGGAATTAATATAGAGTGGAAAAGTGGCACAAAGAAAGGAAGGAGAGTGGGTCTGTGTTGGCTCTCCACTTCCGGTATTAGAGCAGTGAGGAAAGTGAAGAAGTCCAAGGAAAAGATATTGAATAAATTGAAAGAATTGATTTGAAAATAAGAGAAGATAGAAAGCCTGATTGAGTATTTTTTTTAAATGATTAAATGAACTAAAACGAATTTGAATTGAATAGAAATGTTTTAAAGTCTTAAAAGCCTTAAATTTTTTCTATTTTTGCTGACTGAAAATAAAACTGTAGTGCCCTCTGGTAGCATAAGAGAAAAGACTCTTGAGTTGAATACAAGAAATAAGGCTGACCTTGACAACATTGGCTGGACTGATAAGAAACAGATGTTAAAGAAAGAGAGGAATATTGGGAGTGATTTGTTTTTAGTCAAACTGAATATTTATTTATTTATTTATTACATGTATTTATATGCCGCCATTCTCCCGAAGGACTCAGGGCAGCGAACACAAGTTAAGAAACAAGTACAATAAAATCATAATTTAATCCAAATAATTAATTAGTAGTAAATAATAAAGCCCGGAATCAGTCTCAGCCTATTTGTTTGAAAAGCCAAGTCTTCAAGTCCCGACGGAAGGAGCAGAGATCAGGAGCCGTCCGGAGCTCAGTAGGTAATTCATTCCAGAGGGTGGGAGCACCCACAGAGAACGCCCTACCCCAGGCCACAGCAAGGTGACATTGGCTTGCCATCGGAACCCTGAGGAGAGCGGCCCTATGTGAGCGAACAAGACTGTGAGAGGCAGGCAGGAGAAGGTCATGCAAATATCCCGGACCTAAGTCATGAAGGGCCTTATAGGTGAGGACTAGCACCTTGAAGCGGACCTGGAGAACCACTGGTAACCAGTGCAGCTCACGCAGGAGGGGTGTTATATGGGAGTAATGAGGGGCTCCCATAACAACCCGTGCAGCTGCATTCTGGATCAGCTGGAGTCTCTGGGTGCATCTCAGGGGCAGGCCCATGTAGAGGGAATTGCAGTAATCCAAGCGGGAAGTAACCAGGGCATGAGTGACTGTGTGAAGGTCATCTCGATCCAGGAAAGGGTGCAACTGGTGCACCAGGCGAACCTGTGAGAAGGCCCCCCTGGTCACGGCCATTAGATGGTCTTCTAGGGATAGCCGAGCATCCAGGAGGACACCCAAGTTGCGAGCCCCATCAACGGGTGCAAGTTTTTCCCCATCTATCAAAAGTGATGGAGCCTCTGAAACCTGAGATGCCGGCATCCACAGCCACTCAGTCTTAGAGGGATTGAGTTTGAGTCTGTTTCTGCCATCCAGGCCCGTACCTCCTCCAGGCAACGGGACATCACGGAAAGGGCATCTCTGGGGTGGTCTGGGGTGGAGATGTATAATTGGGTATCATCAGCATATTGATGATATCTCACCCCAAAGCCACGAATGATCTCACCCAGTGGCTTCATATAGATGTTAAAGAGCAGGGGGGAGAGAACCGACCCCTGAGGCACCCCACAATTAAGGGGCCTCGGGGTGGATCTCTGCCCTCCCGCCCATACAAACTGAAAGCGACCTGAGAGATAGGAGGAAAACCACCATAAGACAGTGCCTCCCACCCCTAACCCCACAAGTCGCTGCAGTAGGATACCATGGTCGATGGTATCAAAAGCCGCTGAGAGGTCAAGTAGGACCAGGATGGAGGAACAACCCCAAGCCCGAGCCCACCAGAGATCATTCACCAGAGTGACCAATGCTGTTTCCGTGCTGTGACCGTGTCGGAAGCCTGATTGGTACGGGTCAAGGTATTCTGTTTCCTCCAGGAATTGTGGGAGCTGTTGAGCCACTACAGTCTCAACAACCTTCGCGATGAAGCGAAGGTTGGAGACGGGACTATAGTTATTAAGTGAGTCTGGATCCAGAGAAGTCTTCTTGAGGAGAGGTCGAACCACTGTCTCCTTAAGAGAGGTGGGGAAGTTCCCCTCTCTCAATGAAGCATTGACAATTGCCTGGATCCAGTCTCTAGTCACCTCTCTGGCAGCCGAAACCAACCAGGAGGGACAAGGGTCAAATAAGCAAGTGGAGGAACTAAGTTTGCCCACAATCCTGTCCACTTCCTTGACAGAAACAGGGTCAAACTCAATCCAGATATTATTCTCAAGACCCACCCTAGTCTCCCGATTGGATTCTGCCCAGTCAGAGTCCAATCCGATCTGGATCTGAGCGATTTTATCATGCAGAAACTGTACAAAATCCTCAGCTCTGCCCTGCAAAGGGTCTTCCCTTGCTCCCTGATTGAGGAGGGAGTGGGTCACATGAAACAGGGCCGCTGGGCAGTTTTCTGCAGATGCAATGAGGGTGGCGAAGTAGTGACGTTTCGCCGCTTCCATCGCCACTAGATAAGACCTAATATGGGTTGTTAACTGTGTTCGGTCAGATTCAGATCGGGAGGACCTCCAACTCACCTCTAAGCATCTTTTCCAACGTTTCATTTCCCGGAGCGCCATGGAAAACCAAGGAGCAATCTGGGATCTGTGTCGGGTTAGAGGCCGCAAAGGTGCGATTCTGTCCAAGGCGTCGGTAGCCACCTGTTCCCAGGATGCCACCAGAGCCTCAGCTGAATCGCAGGATTGAGAGGTGGGGAATGTCCCAAGCTCCTTCAAGAACCTTTCTGGGTCCATCAGGCGCCTAGGGCGGAACCATTTTATGGGTCCCATCTCCCAGTGGCAGGGGTTGGCAGATTGAAAGTCTAGTCTAAGGAGGGAATGGTCAGTCCATGACAGGGGAGTGATGGACCATGACCATTTATCCACTGCCCAGAGAGAAAAACCAGGTCGAGTGTGTGTCCTCCTCTATGAGTGGGCCCTGAATAACCTGAGTCAGGTCCATGGCTACCATGGAGTCCATGAACTCCCGGACTGTCTCAGATGACTCACCAATTGAAGGCAGATTAAAATCTCCCACAACTAAAAGGCTGGGGAGTTCAAGTGCCACCTCAGACAAGACATCGAGCAATGCGGGCAGGGCTGTGGCAACATAACTGGGAGATAGGTATGTGACCAACAAGCCTGACTGAACTCCAGAATCCCACTTCAATAGAAGAGACTCACACCCACCTATCTGAGGGACAGTGACCTCCCTTGGACTCAGACTTTCTCTAACAACTACTGCCACCCCCCGCCCCTTCCCTGGTGTCGCAGCTGGTGCAGGACACGAAAGCCTGAGGGGCATAAATCAGAGAGAGGGATTCCCCCCTCTTGCCCCAACCAGGTCTCTGTGATACAGGCCAGGTCCACACCCTCCTCATCAATAAGATCTCGCATGAGGAGAGCCTTATTCATCATGGACCTGGCATTCACATATATCAGACGGAAACCAGGGTCCTTTGCTCTCATATCCCCAGGAAAGCAGGGTGAGCAGGAGGTATGGGAGCAAGTCACCATCCGAATGCATCTGGTGTGAAGCTCCCCACCCCTACTTCGATTTCTTCTGCCTCTTCCCACCATCATAGCTTGTCCCACCCTCCTCCAAGCATCTCCTATGACTCCCAACCTCCCCAACCCACTGGGGCTGTCAAAATGGCATGGCTGCTGATCCTTAAGAGACCCCCCAGTCTCATTTTTATTATTAAAAACCACCGTCCTCCCGGATCCCCTTAAAATTGGATCTAAAAATCTATTTAAAAAACCCCGTTTTTTAGCGTACCACCTCTTGGGGTTCCAAAACCTGTCATCAAGGGCAGCCCTCGATAGTTGAGAGGGCCAAACCTGTGAGAGGGGGGAGTCTCGCAGTACAAGGAGCTCCGCAGTTGAATACATTAAAGAATAGTAATGAGCTGAGAGTGATGTAGGATCATTTTCTATTAAAGGGTGTTAGAGATTGTAAAAACAGGTAGATTAAATAAGAGAGGAAAAGATGTTAAAGAGAAGACAATATGCTAAAAACATCAGAACATCAGGACATCATCATCCTATCATGACAATGGGAAGTCTTGTGATTATAATAAGTCTATTCAATGGTGGGGGAAAAAGTCTCAAAGACCGCCCTTTCAAGGTGACCCAAACCAGAGTCATAAGGTCAAATGAGAGATGGTCCGTCCCACCATAGTCCAAGACTCTCGGTGTCTGTGCCTCCTCCCGTTCTCAGCGATAGCCAAGGCTTAGTTCAAAAAAAAGCAATGTGTAGTCATAGGATGGAATAAATGATTGAATAATCGAATAATCCGGGTAACCCAGGGAGGACAAGATGTTCAAATAATGGTCAAATAAGGCTTCAGATCAATCAAAAGTTGTAAATTTATGCTGAGTGGCCCTATTAGGCTTAAGCCTAATAAGGGGGGGAACAGTTAAGGGGGAGACCAACTGTTATCCCCCAGCTGACAATTCTCAGTTCCTTCCCCATAAGCTTGATCTTCAGCCCATTCAGCCCATTAAGCCCCTTCCATGCTTCAGAAAAAAAGGGGGGAGTGTCCAGATCCCTCAAAAACTGAGGGATCCTAATGTTTGTAATGCTGCCCTCTTCTCCACCAACAACAGGAGCATCTTTGCAGCCAAGCCTCCAGGTACTGTCACCGTCCTCTAACCTCCTCCCCGACAGTCAGCTGTTCCTCGGGCTCCATCCACGGCTCTATCGAGCCGGCAACACCTCGGCTCACTGGGAGGGGGTCAAAAGATGGTTAACTGACCCCCGACACCCCTGAAAATGTCAAACATCGCCTCCCTAAGCTCGGGGTTCACTGCGGAGCCGCCATTTTGGTTTGCT